GGTAAGGAGATATTTTACAATGTAAAGTCATTATAGGTCCCTTTTGGCAAAGCTTATGCTTTTGCTTCTTGTGGAAGAGTTTCTTGAGAAAGCTATTTTAGATCAACTTTCTTTAAAAGTTATTTTAGTCAGACAAAGTACTTTTAGAAAATTATTCAAACATGTTCAAAATAAGTATCATAGTCTTAAATTCAGCTTTTGACTTTTTAAGCCCTGCTAAACGGGTCCATAGTTTCTTAGAGAAGGCTTAAATGAAATGCTTTGGCAACTATAAAAAGTCATTCAGGTTGTCATCATATTGGATTCTTTTCTTTTTGGATCTTTTAACTCTCATACAATGAGCATGGGGATGCTTATTCATTTTCTGGTAATTGGTTATTAGTCTTGTTTTTATTTAGGGAAAGGATATGCGCAAGTAGCAATTGAATTAAGTCGTTATGATCCATTGAGACGACGGGTAATTTATCGACTATGCAATAACGATAAGGATTGAAAGGATTAGGTGGTTTTTATTTGTTAAGGGGAAGGATTTTGTCTTTTCCTAGTTGAGTTCCTTAATTACAGAAAATGGAGAATTGAATTCATACACTTCAAAAATTAATTGCTAGAAAATAATAATCAAAGATAAAAATGAAATGCGACTTTGTCGGTTAACCTCAATCAAACATTCAAGAAAAAAAGTGTGGGATAGCCGAGCCATTCTTCTTTCCTTAGTAGCAGTATTTGGTTTAATATAAATTCCGTCCTTCTGGTATTTCTTGTATGATATAGCATCTATCAAAAAGTTTTGTACTTTGGAAGAAGTTTGTACAGTTTCAAAGGATGATGATATTATAGCAAAATATTGATTGCAGAGAAGAAAATTGGCCACATTAAAATTATGTTCTTAGGGAATTTGTTTGATATCCAAAAACTGCTAAACATGTTCAAAAGGTCTAAAGCAGAATAACATGATGCCTTTAACTTCTCTTTTTTCAAGTTTGATTTAAAAGACGTAATTCTTATATATGAAAAGGCATTTTCCGTCAAACATATTTTAAAATATTTCATCATGTGTCACATCCATATTTCACCACGCTAATTCCAATTTTTAACAATTTGTTAAACGTCTCACTTTTGTTCTCTACTTACAATTTTCCCGAATTTGATCCGAGAAAATAAATAAACTACAAGGATAAATATATATGGACAAATTATGGTTGACAAAATACTTCACTACCTCTCACATAATGTGTGGATCCCGCATATATTTAAAAAATGGCAGCTTGTGATCTCCACCCTTATTGTGAATACTGAGTAAATAATTGTGTAAAAAAACATTTGTACATATAGCATTGTCCAAACTACAATTATCTACTTGAAAAGCAAAATAATCTTCTATATGAATTGGTCAAAACCAACCTTTTGAACCAATTTTCCACATATATAATCGATTGCAATCGCTAAGTTTGAGCCACATTATTTCAAAAAATACATTTTTAAACATTAATTTGATATCATTTTAACCACACATTATTCAATAAAATAATATTACACACAAATAAAAAACATTTCCTTATTTTCTAACCACACATTTTCTATCAATACACTATTCAAAAATATATTCTTATAAAAATAATGCGGTTCAAACAAGGGCCTATTTACAATTAACTGTTACGAACTATAAAATTAATAATCTCAATGGATGAAAATTCAGCCTGTCCCACTTAATGCACAGTAGAGTAGGTACTATTAAAGAGAATTATAACTCCTCTACACATGTTTAATTATACGCTTGGGTAGTTTTTCATATGTTTGCCTTCTCAATTTTAGAATGCCTTGATTAGGGATGTGGATGAGAAGTTATTTTATAATTTCTATAGCAATTCAAAAGATCGTCTCACACAATACGAGAATCAATTATATATAGAAGAAAAACGAAAATAAATACCCTCTCGACATCCAGTTTAAATACTATAATTCATATTTTAATTCGATTATGATATTTTCAAGTCTTGATAAGTAGCTATAATTGCTTGACATGGGAAGTGATTTCATCTGGGCAAGATTGTGCTTGAAGAAGCTCCAATCGCGTGAAAGGTGACGCAAACTGCAGGATGTAGTCTTCATCTACAGCCACACAATGGGATTCGAATCAATGACTTTAAACACACATCATGTTGAGTAAATGAACAAAATTGAAGACGATAAAATAAAGCCAGTTGTAACTAATCGAATTGAATGTTCTTACTCTCTTTAACTGTCCCATAAAGCCAGCACAACACCTCATCAGCAAATGCTAGGCACACTCCTCCCTGCCAGAATCCCAACACAGGTGGCACGATTCGTACGAGAAATATACTACAAATCAAATACGAAAGGAGAAGAGAACAATGAAAATATGCAGACATCAATTTACCTGCCAATAATTTTTCATCTTTACTCTGTGTGTTATATCTTTGGTTCTTAGTCTTTCAGTACGGACGAGTCGGCCAGCATCATCCCTGCATCAAGAAAATGTCAACAAATATGAATATCTATGGAGACATGAGGAAAGGGGAAGTGAAAAGGTTTTGTTTATTAGGTTGCAGAAATTATAGTCATCCATACAGGATACAGAAAAAAGGATTCAGTTAGAAATTAAAAAGCATATAATAATACCTGAAACCAATGACAACATATGGTACACCAGCAAGGAATGATTGAATCTGCATCAGCAAAGATAGCAATGATTCCGATACAAAGAAAGTCAAGATGCACGTTTGACTATCTAAATGCCAATCAACAGATAAAACTTAAGAAGTTAACAAGCTTTAACTCAAAGCTGTTGTGGGCTTCCCCAAGTGAACCGAAGCATTGAGTTCCAAAATAATGGCATATCACAAGAATATGTTGTAAAATAAGCAAAATTTCGGGAATGTAATAGACAGTAACAGTAAATGAATGTTTTCATACTCAAAAGCAAGCTTCTAAAGTCACAATAACAAAATTTACTTGATCCTCTATATACATGATATTGAACTTCCATTCAGCTATAGTCACTCTCTCGAATAAAGAAACAAATTATAGATAGTGTTAGACCCAAACAGTGAAGTAGCGGAACAATCAGAACACCAAATGGACAATAACTAGAAATTTAGGGTGGACTCACATCACCAAAATGTTAAAAAAACCAAGTCATTCAAAAACAAGCTAAATTTCCTGCTAGAACTAACTTATCGATGGCAAAGATTATGGAGGAGATTTATATTTCTATAATTAGTGTATATACACGTTATAGTTACTTACCTAAATATTGTAAATTACTAGAAATTAGCCAATAATTTGTAATGAAATTCCTATTTAATGGAAAGAATCCTCATGAAGAGGTCATTTCAGCCTTTCACATAAAGATTGACATGGTATCAGAGCTTACCTTTCAAATCCATAGCAAATCTTCGAGTTCCTTCAGTTCTACTTCTGCTTTTCATGCAACAGGAGTTTTCTCACATTTGATTTCATTTTGGGTTGATCAATTTCTGTTCAACTACTTCGATTTGAGATTCAGGGTCAACCAATTTTTTTTTTTGGTCGACATATGTCTACCAATTTCTGGTCGATGAGTTCGTGTTGTTCTTTTGGTCAACAGCTTCACATCTTCAATTGGAAGGAAGGAAACAATTCTGATCCAGTGCCTACTTCTGTGGCTCCTCGACGATCTTCCCGCACTATTCATCCTCCTAATAGGTATGGTTTTTCTGCTACTTTGGCTGATATCACAATTCCTACATCTTATTCTCAGGCTACTAAGCAGGAATGTTGGAAGAAGGCTATGCAAGAAGAAATTCAGACTCTTCAGGAGAATCATACTTGGGATATTGTCCCCAGTCCTACTGGTGTTAAGCCAATTGGTAGTAAATGGGTATATTCTATTAAGAGTCCGTTTGGTGTACATTTTTTAGATGAAAATGCATTTCAAACATCATATCGCGGGTCCCCCATTAGAGTGTAGAAGTCAAAAATTGTGTGCTGATGTGACGGAAAAAATGCATTTTTGGCTCCAAAAATGCGTACCAAACAGGGGCTAAACTACAATCTGATAGCTGACTTGATAGATATAAAGCACGGTTGGTTGCACTCGTTAATCGGCCGGAGTATGGGGTGGATTATGCGGAAACATTTGCTTGATTTGAGAAGTTCCGCTCTACACTTCTTAGCTTCTCCTTCGTCCAGAGTCAGTAAAATTCATCTTCATTTCTTTGCAAGGCTACTCGTACAATTATCTTACTTTTAGTGTATGCTGATAATATTGTTATTACAGGGATTGACTGTAGATTGGGTCCTTTATAGTCTTTGAGGTGAATTCTACCTCAGCTCGTACTTTCTTACACCAACAAAAGTACACTCAGGAGTTAATTGCTTTAGCTGGGCTTCAAGATGGTCGCTTTGTCGATACCTCCTTGGAAGTGAATGTTAAGTATTGTCGTGATGAGATGATTCTCTCTAATCCCTCTTTGTATAGATAGCTAGTGGGAAGCCTGAATTATTTGACTATTGATTGACATGATATTTCCCTTGTTCAACAAGTTAGTCAGTTTATGCCAGCACCTAATCATCTTCATCCGGCAACTGTTTGTTACATTGTTCGCTATTTGCAAGGTACTTCCTCCCGTGGTCTTTTCTTTCCTGTGGGCTCTCCTATTCATTTGGTGGCATATAGTGATGCTGATTGGGTTGGTTGTCCTGATACTCGTCATTCCATTACTAGTTGGTACATGTTTCTTGGTAATTCCATCGTTTCTTGGAAAAGTAAGAAGCAAGATTATGAAAATCCTCCACTAAGTCCGAGTATCGTGCTATGTCCTCTGCTTGTTTGGCTACGGGGATTGTAGGCTGAGCTTAGGTTTCCTCAAGTTGAATCTACTTCGCTCTATACTGATAATAATAGTGCTATTCAAATTGCTGCAAATCCAGTATTTCATGAAGCACATTGAAGCAGTTTGACACTCTATTCGTGAAGCATATGATAGTCGAGTCATCTCTATTTCACATCACTATCGATCTTCAGATTGCTGATATGTTTACTAAGGCTCTTTCTTGACACCGACATCAATCTCTTGTTGACAAATTGATGCTTGTTGATCACCCAGCATCAATTTGAGGGGGATGTCAATGGAAAAAATTATGGACGAGATTTATATTTCTATAATTAGTGCATACACATGTTATAATTACTTACCTAAAATAAATTAATATATAAATTGTAAATTACTAGAATTAGCCAATGATTTGTAATGCAATTCCTATTTAATGGAAAGGATCCTCATGAAGAGGTCATTTCAGCCTTTCACATAAAGATTGACATAACTGATCAGGGCATATATTATAATAGTACATACAAGGCCAGCCGAAGACTGTGTGTAGACCTAAACTAAACTTACATAATGAAAACTGACTTTCCTATATTAAATGCACGATTTGAATTTGTTGGTTAAGCTTTGACATGAAATAGAATTGATTGCAGCAGCTCCAGCAAGCAAAAATAGGATGTTGTACTTAAGAATTACCCAAACCATTTTCAAGTACCCTGCAACATCACTACTTGGGAATCATAATTTCTCATTGATGTATAACATCACTTATCAGGTAAGGTAAACAACAATATCATGCACTATGTCTTTTATCGCCACTATTGCTAAGATATCCTTTATAGTCTTACTTCGGCAGTTCTCTTAAACAAGTTTTTGTTAACCAAAAATACAAAGCGTTCAAGAACATGAAAACATGCATCATCTTAGAATTGCAGTCACAATAAAGAAAATAATTTCTCCCTCTTCATGCTCCCAGCATTTAGTAATGAAACAGAACAGATTCTCAAGCCATCAAGGATACAATCTACAGCGAACTTCTTACCTAAGATATTTGTATTTCAATTTCTTATTTGAGTAAGAAAGCAGATGTCCTAGTTAATGCAACCAATGACCTTGATTTGTGTGAAAACATGGCAAGCGTTTGGATTGCCTGCTGTAGAGGATAGATGATTGACAGATGTCCTATTAATGAAGTCATTTACCGATAATTTTAAAATGAAAAGTATGGAGATGCAGTCATTCATGCACAGATGAAAAGGAGTCTCACAGAATTCAGATATTCCAAAGTATCTGCATAGGAGAACGGGATTCTCTAAAGTATATACAGATCAAGCAGACTTCTCCATGCATACCTATATATTACTCACTTGATAAACAATCACATTTACAACATTGAAGGCAGAAGGAGAAACATAAAAAGAGAAAAAGGAGAACCATGTGGAGATATTAATGTGAAAGGAGGAATATCCATACCCAGAATTTGAGTAATTTCTCCCTCTCATATTTTTCCTCAGTATGATAGTCTAACTGCAGAAAGTACAAATGAAACAGAACATGGTCCCAAATTAAAAACTAGAAAAGAGGAAACAAAAGAAATCAGCAAGCATGCCAACCTCACGACTGGTTTTAAGTTCCACATAGAACCTTCTACCCTCATCTGTTGAATCACAACAGTCCATTTCGGCACCCATCAGGATTCGATGGGCTCCTAATTTGGTTTTAATCACAGAGCAGTATTCAGCATTGGCATCAACATGATGTATCCCTTCTCCATCAGCTCTTCTTGGATCTTCAGTGGCAAGAGCTTCAAAACAATAGCCCCAGTAACATCTATTGAAGGAAGGAGACATCACTTACAGATACAGAAAAGAAGAATAGAAATTTAAAGCAATGGCCACTGATATAGCTGCATAAGAAAACGATGTGGGTGGACTATTCATCTATTAGAAAGCAACCCTATAATGTAAATCCATTGTACTCTACTTTGAACTATTTATGACTGCATCTTTTCAAATTGGAAACAAATAATTTGGTCAAACTGGTATATTAATATTGTATTACTCTAATTACAAGCCTCATGATATTAGCACTACTGGATCTGCTAC